CAAAGATTTACGTGGAGGGCCTGGTTCTCATTTTTAAGAAAGGCTTCCGTAAAATCTTTTGAAAAATAGTACTTGAAGAAACGTAGAACGCTACTTTTGACACTTCGGATTTAACTTAGAAAATTTTTTGAGACTCCTTCATGCCCTGCTAGTGAAAGACTCAAAAACCTTCTATAACCCAATGATACAACCATGAGGTTTACAAAAAGTTCGAAAAATTGTGGCGGGAATTTTGGCCCTCAAACTATGAGAGTTATTGAACAAGACGTATTTTGCCACACCACACTCTTACAACCACATAACGTAGAATAGTTCTCCCTTCTTGATTTGAGATTCCACGGAATAAGTGAGCTTTGAAATTTGACGAAGTGATAGAGATCGCTTTGTTCAAACTATATAAAAAATATTCCGAATCGGAAATTTTTTTGTTGTTTGATTATTTAATTGTTAAATTGGTAAACTGGTAAGGGGGCCAGGTTTTTCTTGGGAAGAGAACCCCAAAAACCAGGACGAAAAGTTCTTGTTATTGTGGCGCTCCTCTAAGTTTGATATCCGAGCAAATCTGCAAAATAAAACTTTCTACAACGCTGTTTAACTCGCTACCGTATTCCTAATCTAGCACAGAGGTATGAAAGCCTAAACAATGTGCTAGTATATTTATAGAGCTGCAGACAGAGAGGGTAAACTTTGTTGCCTTAAGTCTCATTTGGATAATCCTTTGAAGCACGCTGACTAGTATTGCGATTGTGATGACAAATATAACATGACATGACAATAACCATCAAAATTTTGCCGAAAATGGGTAGAAATGAAGCTACTGGCTTTATAGGTGTTCGACTTCTTTGCTATCTTCATAACACTCATTGTTTACGCTGTTATAAATCGTATTGTGAGTATAGTTTTTGGCAACCTTATTATATTATCGTCATATGAAGATTATTTTTGATTTTTTTCAGCTAGATTCCTCCTTTTATACCGTACTACCGATTATCGCCCTTCTGTCATCTGCTGCCGTCTTGCCGTTAGGAGTGATAGGTCTTCTTTATGTATGTATTTATTCTCAGATTTTTACGTCCATCAAAATGTGATTTAAGCAACATGCAAACCTTCTTGTTATCTACAATACGAGACTTGCTATTTTTGTAATCTGGTCTATCGTATGGATGGGGTACGTATATCTTCTTCTCCATTTGCTTTATGAAAATCTCACCGAAATTTTTAAAAAGGAGTACGAAGCTGCCTACGCCTTATTACGATGTATATAAGGAGATTTTTCAATAAGTCTTTTTTAATTCTGTATTCA